GGGATTGGCCCCAAAAGTTAGTTTGGTTGTCTTGCACTGGGTACGCATGGAAGTAGGACAAAGGAATGTCAGACAGGGGCCGTATTCTTTACACCCTCGATCCAGCTGGTTGTGGCAAACCCCGCCACCATGCCAGCGCAGCAGCGCAGCAAGAAGGAGGTCGAGTGCGAGACGCCTCCAGTTCAGTGCTCGTCTTGTGCTGGGGCGCATCTTGAACACCCCTTCCTTGGCCGCAGCCTCTTTCTTCTCTTCATTCATAATTCCTCCTCCACCTCCTCCTCCCTGCTCCCTGTTCGAAGGCATATTGGAGTCGAGGGCATATTCGGGGTTTTGTTTGTGGCCTCTTGGGGTCTGGGCAGGACGCATGGTGGTCTTGGAGCCCTCCTGGGTCGTATGCGGTGTTCTCGGGCAGTCTTAGCGGTCGTCCGTCATCTTTGCGGTTTTCTGGCGTCCTCTGAGGCGTCCCCGAGGCGATATGAAGCCGAAAAGCCCCCAAAGCTAGAGTCGTTGCTTTCTAAAATATGATCTGATTATCCTGCCACAGATATTTCTTTTGGATGCCATTCCGGGCCTCTTCGGGCACCTGCGGGAGATCTTGGAGCCTTTCGGGGTTCGGAGGGCCGCCTTTGGATGGTCTTGGGGCGTTCTGCAGCCAGTTGGGGAAGGCTTGGGATTTCTCGGAGCCGTCGGGAGGCCGAAAAAGGGTGCCTGGGAGAAAGTCCAAAAAGGGGAGTGGGCTTGTCAGGCGGTGCGCTTGTCGGGGCGCGGCCCTAGAAACACAACAGACATCCCACCAGGCAACACTTGTCAGCCAGCGGCCGCCAGAGGGTCAGACAGCAGTCGAGAAGCGGCGGGGCGCGCCGAAGCACAGCGAGGCACGAGGAGAAAGTTCGCGCCGAGGCGCGAGGCGACCGGAGGGGCCGGGAGGGCCAGGGAGCCGCACTCAGGCCATGACAGTCCTCATGTGCGCGCCGAGGTAAACTTTCTGAAAGCGCAGGGCGAGCACGGAGGCCGAGCCGAGGATGGAGCCCGTGGGGAAGCCCAGCAAAGGTGAGGGTACAGCCGAACAACGCCGTCAATCAATGACTCGAAGCAAAACCAGGTGCGAGCGTCCGCCTTGGAACCCATTCAGGAACGGCTGAGGTTACGAGCAACCATTGGGAGCCTAAAGCGCGAAAGCCGCGCGGGTATTGGGCCGTGAACGGCGATCAGGGACGCGGACCGCGGGGGCAGGCGACTTTGCCGAGGAGCACCGCCAGAAAGTCGAGGACGGAATGACCATCGACCAGGTGAGGGGACCAGGGAGGTGTCGTCGACCTTGACGAAGAGCAACATCATGAGTCCAGCCCTGGGCCAAGCCGCGCAGCGCCAGCAGCACACAGACTGCGGCCAGAACACTGGCGGGACCGCCGTCGCGATGGCGGCGCTGGCATGGGTTGGAGGGGGGGGAGAAGGGAGAGGGAGGAGGGAAGCAGAGGCAGGCAGGAGGGCTGGGCGAGGGCCCAGCGAGGCGAACCAGGGTGGCAAAGAGCCAGAACAACGTGGAACCGAAAGCCAGGTGACCAGGGGGGCGAAAAGCCCGAACAGCGTGGGAAAACTGACATGCAGGAGCCAGCATGCCAGACGTGACGGCGGCGTGGCCAGAGAGACCAGGGCGCAGGAAGACATCTCGGAGTGGCACGCCGCAGTAGAGAGAGGCGCCCGGATTGAGCCCAGGAGGCAGGGTCCACATAGGGGCAAGACGCCCTGCCTTGCCGAGAAGAACCCCCGCAGGGGTGCGTGAATGTCGTGGGGCGGTTAGCGAGTGTCGAAGCGGCCCCTCGCGTGCCGATCCCAGGCCAAGACGCATGAACGTACAGCTGGCACGGTGGCGGATACCCGAGCTGATTGCGCTGCATGTCGCATTCCACGGAGGGAGAAGAGGGTGGTCAGAGGTGGGGGCCTGGTACACGGCACCGTCTTTACTTTCTTAGTAAATTCATGGTGGGTATCTTGACTTCATCATTCCGCCCATCTGGGTTGTACAGGAAGACTCTGTACAGCTGGAAATGTGTTACGATCGTGGCGGCGATGTTTCTCCAGAAGGAATGGTTGGATCCCGTTGCATACTATTGCGAGTTTACGTGGGTTTGGTCCCACTCGCAAAACGCGCGTGTTCCTTTTTGACGTGTTGTCATCTGCTCGTTCCGGTTTGGTTTGGGCAGTGTCGCCACGATAACGTTCAATTCGACGTTGGCTTGGAAAATTCTGCGTTGGCTGTCTGACCAGAGTGGCGTTCACTTTCCAGGGGCTTGGGCCGTGACAGGTGGGAATGATTCAGCCGCTGCCCCGTTTGCGCGCAGGGCGTTTTCGATTATCTGTCCTGGAGTTTATTTCTGGCGGAGGGAAACGCTAAGTGCTAAGTCCAAGATAAGTTGTACGGCACGGCACCAATACCATCCTCAACACAGTCAATTTGCTACGTGCGATCATCGTCATTTTCACCACTGGCTCCGTTTATCGCAATCATCGCGGCCGTTGCCGACGACATCGCTAGCGTCAACACCACCGTTGTCGTTGTCGCCCTCGAAGTCAGTCATTTAGTGATTTTACCACTACTATCAATCCACAGCCGTCATGGCTCGCCGCGCCGTGGCGCAAGTCGACTTATCGCACAGGGGAACATCTTGCCAGCTAGTCTCTTCGGAGTCTGCAGCTTCAGGAGAAAAAATGCTGCATCTGCATCGATTCCCTAAGTTGTTTGTAGCAGGTGTTTTCGTGTTTGGACTGGTCTGCGGTTCGGTCTTTGTTCTCTTGTGGCAGTCGCACGAATTTCTGAGAGGAGTTGCAGCACATTCCTCAGGGCTCGATGAGGTGAGGCCGCGGCTGACAGGAGCGACCAAAGTCGAACTAATCAAGCACAAGGTCGCGAAAGAGCCAGAGCCAACAGTCACCCTGGAACCAGCGCCAAAAGTGTGTGTCGTCGCCGGCGTTGGCCCCGGCATTGGAGAGAAAGTCGCCCAACGGTTCGCGAGAGGCGGTTGTCACATAGCCTTGCTTGCCCGCAGCCGCGACAAGTTGGTGAACATCTCCAAGGGCATTCCAAATTCCAGGCCCTACGCGTGTGACGTCACAGACGGCGCACAGGTGAAGAGGGTCTTCGCCGCCATCGGAGCAGATCTGGGCGATGTGGACGCTCTGATCTACAACGTTGGGGGAGGGTTTTTCCAGCCATACGACAACATCACCGCAGACACCTTGGACGTCGACTTCAAGACGAACGCGCTGGGCCTGCTCCTGACGGCACAGGAAGTCGGACCCCGAATGGCCGAGCGAGGACGCGGCGTAATCGGAGTCACGGGTGCCACGAGCTCGTGGCGCGGCCTGGCGTACACGGCGGGTTTCGCTCCAGGGAAGTTCGCATCCCGCGGTTTGGCGCAGTCTTTGGCCCACGATTTGTCGCCCAAGGGCGTTCACGTCTTCTACGCCGTGATCGACGGCGGCGTTGCCCCAAAGTCCGACCCCACGAGGAACACCACCATGCAGCCTGAGGACATCGCAGAGACGTACTATTTCCTGGCACGCCAGCCGCGCTCGGCTTGGACTTTTGAGGTCAACATGTACGCCTGGGCAGACCCTAGTTGGATCTCGATTTGAGGTTTCTTTGTTGCGCCGAATAACTTCAGAAACGATGGTAACATTATCCCAGTGCGACCCTACCTAGGAGTTGGAGCCTCAAGCTGCCCCACCAAGGGCTCAAGATGGCCCACAGACGGACAACATGCATGGAACACACGTGCGCGCACACACACACACACACACACACACACACACACACACACACACACACACATACACACACACACATAAGCATAAGCATATATATATATATAGCAGCAACAATAGTGGATGTTGTGCTGCGCTATGCAATGCTCTGCTATGCTATGCCATGCTATGCTATGCTATGCTATGCTATGCTATGCTATGCTATGCTATGCTATGCTGCGCAATGCTTTGCTGGGCTAGGCGAGGCTAGGCTGGGCTATGCTATGCTATGCTGCGCTATGCTATGCTGCGCTATGCTATGCTATGCTATGCCATGCCATGCTTTTGCTTTGCCTTCGCTTTTGCCTACACTTTTGCCTTTGCTTTTGCTGATGCTTTTGCTTGGCACCCAGGGAGCGCAACTGGGGGAACCGCGCGTTTGCTTTTACCTTTGCTGTTGCTTTTGCTTGGCTCCCAGGGGACTGGGGGAACCGCCCGGGGCGGGTTGCACTGCCTGGCCCCTTTAAGCTACAGAGTAAGAACCCTTCTAGGCAGAGCCTAGGTAGGGAAAAACTGATCTGCTGGCGGGAGGGCGACCTGCGAGCGTTGCGATCTCTTCCCCCGCCTTGTTTATGGTCTCCTCCGCCTCCGACCGACAAGCTTACACATTCGGTCGGCTCCTGTGTCCGCTCCGCGTTGTTGTCCCCCCTCTCGGCAGGAGAGAGGCAACGTGGAGCAGCGAGTTCCCCCGCGAGTTCATCCTCTCCGTCCTCCTCCCCCTCCTCCTCCCTCTCGTTCTCCTCCTTCTTCTCCTCTTCCTTCTCCTCCTCCTCCTCTTCCTCCTCCTCCTCCTCCTCCCCCTCCTCCTCCTCCTCCTCCTCCTCCTCCTCCTCCTGCTCCTCCTCATCCTCCTCCTCCTCATCATCCTCCTCCTCCTCTCACTCCTCCTCCTCCTCCTCCCCCTCCTCATGTCCCTCCTTATCCTCCTCCTCCTCCTCCTTCTCCTCCTCCTCCTCCACAATTACTCAATATGAATACTACTGTCCCTCTTCCCCTGATGACGGTTTGAAAGTGCTCGACCCCCCCCCCGCGTACTGTTTTTGTACACAGGTTTCCCCGGAGTTGGGTTTTCGCGTGCATTTTTGTTTCAAATGCTGCTCTCGCTGAGGCGCCGGCCTCATTTTCGGGCCCCGCTCGTTCCGAATCGTGCTCCCGCTGCAGCGCTGGCCTCATTTCCGTGCTTCCGCTCGTTCCGATTCGTGCTCCCGCTGCAGCGCTGGCCTCATTTCCGCGCTTCCGCTCGTTTCGACTCGTGCTCCCGCTGCAGCGCTGCCGTCATTTCCCGTGCCATGCTACGGCATGCAATGCAATGCTAGGTTGATACTACGCTTTGCGGTGCTCGTCTACGCCATGCCATGCCGTGCTCTACAATGCATCGCGTACCCTTTCGGGATCATTGCCCTGCTCGACATCCGACTGTGCGAGTAAGGGATGGGAGGGAGGGGTAGGATGTCAGATATGACGCGAGCGCACCTAGCTTGTCTCCTCCTCCTCCTCCTCCTCCTCCTCCTCCTCCTCCTCCTCCTCCTCCTCCTCTTCCTCCTCCTCCTCCTCCTTATTCATGTTCGCTCCTCCTCCTCCTCCTCCCCCTTCTCCTCCCCCTCTTCCTCCTCATCCTCCTCTTCCTCCCCCTCCTCCGGCTCCTCCTCCTCCTCCTCCTCCTCCTCTTCCTCCTCCTCCTCTTTCCCCTCCTCCTCCTCCATCTCCATCTCTTCCTCCTCCTCCTCCTCCGCCTCTTCCTCCTCCTCCTCCTCCTCCTCCTCCTCCTCTTCCTCCTCCTCCTTCTCTCCTCCTCCTCCTCCTCCTCCTCCTCCTTCTCCTCCTCCTCCTCCGTAGCCATTTTGGCTCAAGCCCGTCCCTCCTCGGGGATCTTGGACTTGGCCGAAATGGTCACAGTTGCCGCCTCGCTCGAGGGCCACCCTTCCTTGGCCCAGCGCCGCGCCGCCCGCGTTCGTGGCCCGCGGTTCCTCATGATCTCGCGATGGCTTGTTCGGTTGACCCCGATCCAGCTGTTCCTGCCAGTGCTGGTAGCGTTGCTGTCGTCTACCGACGGACTACGCACGATGCCACACGTTCGTTCGGTGGCCGCCGCTCACGTTCGCGAGTGCCGAGCTCTACAACTGGGACTCGCTCGGCATCATCGACGCCTACCTCTTCATCTGGACGTTTTGCTTCCGCACACGCGTGCCACCCCGCTCGCGCGGCCACCGACCATCCCGTTGGGCACCTGCTTGGGCGAGAACCTGCACCGCGTCGCCAGCTTCATTCACCAGCTCCACAGTCCTGCCGTGGCACGAGAATGAGAGCAATCTACGTCCACAAGGTGGGGCCGGCCCGCTTCCTCGTCCTGATGCTGGTGGATTAGCAGACGGTGTTTCTGTACGTGTCCCTCCTCTGGGCTTCCTGCGTCCACATGGTGCTGGCCCGCTTCCTGCTCCTGCTGGCTCTGCCGAGAGCAGTGACACCAAGCACGGCCACCGCTCCGACGAGCATGAGAACGGCCCTCTGCACGAACCTCTCGCTGCTGCCGCTGGTTCAGATCTCTACGCTCCCGAAGAGCCTCCAAGTGAGGAAGCGCATGTGCACGCACCTTTTGGCGCCGCCCGTGGTGCTCTGCCTGCTCCCGGTCAGCTTCAAGGTGAAGACGTTGGGCACGGACCTCCCGATGCCGCCGCAGGTTGCGACCTGCATGCTCCCGTAGAGCACCCTGGTAAAGATGCACAACTTGCACGAACCTCCTGATGCTGCCGCTGGTGGCGACCTGCATGCCCCCTGCTCAGCTTCAAGGTGAAGACGCCACCCTGCACGATCTCATCGATGCTGCCAGTGGTGGCGACATGCATGCTCCCGAAGCGCCTCATGGTGAAGAGACCCCCCTGCGCGTACTTCTCTGTTCCTGCAGCTAGTGGCGATCGGCACGCTCCCGAAGAGCTACCAGTCGAAGACGCTCATCTGCACGATCCACCTGATGCTGCCAATGGTGGCGTACCGTATGCCCCCGAACAGCTTCACGGTGAAGACGCCCTACTGCGCGAACCTCACGCTGCTGCCGCTCGTGGCGACCTGCCTACGCCCGACGAGTTTCCTGGCCTGCGTCAACGAGTACCACTGCATGGACACGAGTTTCCTGGTGATGATGGCAGTCCTCACCTGCTTGCTGCTGCCGGCACTGGCGGTGATCTTACAGGTCGACCTCCTGAAGATCAGCCTGGCGATCTGCACGACCTCGCTCCTGACGAGTTTCGTGGTGATGATGCTCCTCTGCACGGACCCGCTGCTGACGTCGCTGGTGGCGAACATCATGAACACGAGCTTCCTGGAGGCGACGGCCTTCCCCACGTACCTGCTGCTGCCAGCGCTGGCAGTGATATCGCGGTGCGGCCGCTGCGCCGATTCGACAGGTGGCGCAACCGTCCTTGCGAACCCGCTCTTTACCCACACTTCTTCGACGCGACATCTGCGGAAATGTAACATCGCTCCGAGCTGGGCAGTCCGCGCTCCGCGACACCCAGCTCATCACCTCCCCTCTTCTGTGTCTCTGCTGCCACCCATCCCGCCGTTTCCTGCGCTGCGCGTTTCTCTCAATGCCGTTTGACAAATTCTGTGTCGTGCTTCGCTCTCGCGTCGGCATCCGTGAACCCTCCCTCATTGCTCAATGCGACCAGCTTGAGGTCGAGGACCCCTCCCTCGCGGCGCATCTGTTGACGCTCGAGGTCGAGGCCGGTTTTCACTTCAACTCGCCCGCTGTGCGCTCGGGCTCGGGCGGACAGTGGACATCACGGTTACGTCGTCTCTTCTTCCTCCTTCTCCTCCTCCTCCTCGTCCTCCTCCTCCTCCTCCTCCTCCTCCTCCTCCTCCTCCTCCTCCTCCTCCTCTTGCTCCTCATCCTGCTCCTCCTCCTCCTGCTCCTCCTCGCTCGCTAACTACAGGCCAGTAGGTCTGAAGCCCGTGCATCGGGAAAAGAGAAAGGCGAAGCCAGTAAAATGAAAAGACCCTTGAGCAAGCAAGGGAAAGGAAGAGCAGAGACTTACTCGGGACCGTACGCCAACGGGTTCGGAAGCACCTCTTCTACCAAGGCCCTCGGGAGCACGATCGGACCCACCCCGAGAGTCCAACTGCCGGCAACAACGCAAGAAGCCACCTGCACCACAAAACTCCGCGGCAGCGGCGGACTCCCCACGCAGCAAGCATGGCTGCACATGTGTTGGCATCTACCACTCCCTCCAAACTGAATGCATATACTTATGAGCGAAGGCGATCGAGAGGATATCAGAGAGGAGGGGAGCAAAGACGGGGCACCAAACATGCACAAGCCAATCGACGACTCAGAGAATCCTTCTGATACGATAAGGCGCTCAAATTCAGGAAGAGAGGAGGGCTTGCATGCCGAACCGTTGGGCAGCAGCACAGCACAAGGGATCCTCCGCACAAAGGCATGCATCAGCATGAGCGCAGCAAACCTGATTTGCTGATTTGCATTATCCAGCATATCGTGAATGGCTTCCCCAATCCCGGGGCAGCCCACGGGGTTTCGACATCCCTGATTTGCCTACCCCCACTAGAGTCACGGAAAGAGGACCTGGAGGGAAGGCTCAGAGCAGCACGGAACAAACCTCCATGAAGTCTTTGAATATATCTATTCTGAGCGTCTCTATTGCAAGCGATCGAGGCAGCGACGGCAGCCCTCCCCTTGTCGTTGCTGCAAGCACTCTGGAAGCACTCTTGCAGGCCATGGGATCTTCTCTCCCCAGGCCCCAGGGTAAAAACGCAAGCATATTCCAAACAAGAAAAGAGCGCGGGTTGGGAGGGAGACGCATCGCACGTTGGCATGCGGTAAGCAACCGTAGGCTTTGCGTGCACCCGCGGGTCTTTGAGCAAACGTCTCAGCGCAGGAGGCCCCTGGATCCGTTGAGCAGGCACTGATGCGAACTGCTCCGACTTCACTTGCCTCCTATTCTCTCTGGCCTTCAACATGCGCTCCTCCACAGCCTTTTTCCAACTCTTGCGTGGACGGCATCAGGTTGGATTCAGCCCAGGCATCCCTGCATCCTCTCGCCCTGCGCAAATGATGGAGAAGCCTCACGCCATCCTAAAACTGCATACAACTAATTGGGCAGACAGTGCCCGTAACGAAGGACTCGAGGTGCAGCACAATTTTGTGGAACTCGGCGCCATGCGCCCGAAGAGCCCCGACAGCGCGAGCCGTGAAGCCGCACTCGTAACGCAGAAAACCAACTTCCTGCAAAGTGGCGCTCGACGGCGGATCGGCGACAGCCTCAGGAGTTCCCTTGGACTTGGCGGCACAACACGAGGAGAAAGGACGCGGAGCATCACGTATAGTGACCACGTGGTCCATCCTGGCGAGGACCAAGGTACCCTGGAGAGCTTCTTTGCACTGGGTTCTCCGGTCCGCGTTAGCAAGCAACAAGAAAAAACCATTGTCTCTTGGCCGCGACCGCGGCCGTTTGAACCATCCTGATAGATTCGTTTTTATTGTCTCTGGCCACCTCGATGAGTTCCTGGTCAGTGGTGCTCTAAGCGTCGCTCCCAACTTCCAAAGGTCTTCTAAGCCATTCGAAATCTCCCAGGGGCAAGAGGCCCCAGCCCTGACCCTAGAGCAGGTCCAGAAGGGCCCTGGTAAGATGAGGCCCACCAGCAAGCAGACGGGGAAGCAAGCGAAGACGGGAAATGATCAAAACAACTTCGGTAGGAAGCCTTTGTACAAGGTTCATGACTCGAACCTCTGATTCATGCTCTGGACCAAAGTTGACCTATCCCTTGTTGAGCGCCGCGCGGTAGATAGCAACGCGAGCGGTGCGAAGTTTGTCATGCAAATACTTGGGAAGGGGGTCCCAGCAAGCGGAGACAAAAGCAGCCTTGATGCAGCGTAAGTTTCGCAGTATCTTATGTTGTGCCTGAGTTCCAGCACGGAGGAGGGGGTCACAATCTTCTCGATGGGTTCGAGGGCGGACCTGGCAGCGATCATCCTGGAAGCGATTTCTTCCCCCATGGAGCCCGAGTCGGAAAAGCGGGGCCCCGGGACTTTCTGCAACCTGGCCACAGGCAGCACAAAATCGAACCGAACGTTTTCCATCACGGCCACATTTCCAGTGGAAGAAAAACGCACCTTTGTGTTTCCGACCCTTGACCTCGAAAAGCAATCAAGGTCACAGTTCTGTCCAGGTTAACTTGGAGACCATATCAATGACAGCACTCAAAGATGATGTCAGCAAGCGTTCTTGCTTGGTGTCCGACATGGCAGGCATTCCCTGCTGACAAGGCTGAGAGGTCGCCGACATACAACGTGCTGGCATGTGTGCTCGCGCAGCCTTCCTCCGCGGCGACATGCAGGGGGTGTCTGAGGCGGTTCCCAGACTAGACCCTCACGCGAGGCTCTGTCTTCAATTCCTTGTTGCACCCTGGCAACGATTGCGTTAAAGACATCCGTCGCGGGAACAGTTCGTGGAAGCGAAACGGTAAGTTGCTCGAGTGCAGTGTAAAACGCTGCGCACAGGGCATGGAATATAATTTCGAAAGATAGGCTCGCTAATTTGGTGGCTTCCCCAACATTGCCTCAGAAGCAGCTGGGCACCTTCAAGACCTCGGCCGGGGAGCCCCCCACACTGAGTGGCCAGAAGCGAAGAATGAAGGCAGCTTGTGGTCTGAGGCACTTGTGGAACCGCTTGTCCAGAGTGCTACCAAGCAGCACACTTCTTCGGGAGGACAGTGTATCAACAGCTCCTTCCCCCTTGCAGAAGAAAGTAACGAGGCCTGCCTCGAAGGCCAAAGGTTCTCTGTGTTGCGCAGAGACTTTAAACAAAAGAGGGTACACAAGTCTAGTCATCTGCTCTGGGGCGACTCTTCCAAAATCCCCCGGCACCAAGTCGGGACCAGGAGCCCGCGAGGCAGCGCCCTTCCTAAGCCCGAATTGGACGTCCAACTTGTTGGGGATGGTACACAGCGAGATGTCAAGTGTAGGCGCAACCCTGTCGTTCATATTGTCCAGCTCTGTCAATTCGACCCTGGCAACATGTTTCTGAACCATTTGAGCGATCTGAGCGAAGGGTTCCGCTTTCTTCCCGTCATTGTCAATCATAGCAGGGATGGTGATTCCTTTCTTCGGTGCTTTACCTCCGCGGCGCAACGCACGATCCGAAGTGGCCCATTCCTTCTCGGCAATGTGTCCATCGATGGACGTCTTCACACTTCTAGCTGGTCACGCAAAAACTGTGCCCGATCTTGATGCATGCATGTCACCTAGATGCCTTCGGTCCTGAGGGGGAAGGCATGCGCAGCAAGCAAGAACATATCTGGCTCGACGTTCCCACGGATGAGGCATGTCGCCCATTTGAGCAGGACCATCCTATGATTGCACCAAAGGTCCTCGGTGGGCGAACACGTCATCCTAAGATCACCCTTGGAAAGCTTGCACGCCAAGTACAACAGCACACGCGAACGAAGTGCCAAATCTCCCCTAGCCTGCTTGACCATGTTTTTCCTGATCGCCCTGCGCCCAAGGCTGAGGAGGAGGGTGGGTCGAGAGATGTAGGGGCTCTGGGCCTGATCTCGTCAGCTGCAAAAGCATGCGCGGCAGCACCTAGTATGCCCTCTGTAATGGCAGTCATCTGTGGATTGATGGGCGAGTCCAAGTGGGGCTGCTCAATTCGATCGAGCTGTTCCTGAAAAGTGGCGACACAGGCGGCGCCCTTAAATTTCATCCTGTCTGCGCGCGGCCTGTCAGCCTTCGTCCTCGCAACAACTTGCGCCCAGCCATGAGATACCTGCAGGGGAGTGTGGTCGGGCTTGCGGTGGAAAACCTCAAAACCATGTCGAACCTTCACCCCGGCAACAGCGGTCCTGACAAAATCTTTCCCAGGACATAATCGACCCTACGCTTGTGTTCACCTCTAGCCGTGCAGGTGTAGCCTCCAGGGTGGGGCACTTGGTGCTAGTCAGATGCAGATCACAACTAGCCACAGCATTATACAATATTTCCCCAAGTAAGTCTTGCGCCTGCGCAAAGCCCTCGCCTCCGACCCACTGAGACGCGATGCTGCCTACTCTAGCATTGGCGCCGGCGGAACCCAGTCCTACGTTCCACTCTACAAGAAGCTTAGAGGTCACCCCCTACAATTATTGAACCGCTTTCGTATTGTGTCCTATGTGTGGCGCATGCAATACAGCAATCCGAATCGAGAGGGCAGGGGAGCTGATAGCCACGATCAATCTCCTGGGATCCATATGCAGCACAGCCAGGTCTTGCATCCTGAAACACAATAGCCTTGTTTTTCCTCTTGGCAATGGGCAGCTCCAGTTTTAGCCAAAATTCGCAGCCCAGTCCCCCCATTGACGGCCCCCGAGCTGACAATTAGGAAGGGACCCGACATCCGAATACCTTTCTGATTCCGAGCCCCCTGAACTCCTATCATGTGCAACTTGTCATGCCCAAACTGTGTTTTGAGAATCCGCTTGCGCATGATCCTCCTTCTCCCCTTGATGCCCTTCGCTGGGGTGGCGTAGAGAGATCTAGCGTTGAACTGCATGATAGAAATGAAAAATCCATTGTGCTTTGTGCCCTTGTCCTTTCTTTCGGGC